GGGGGTGAGGGGTCAAAATGGAGGGGGAGAGAGGGGGAAATGGGGGGCTCAAAATAGGGGGGATTTGAGGGGGAAATGGGGGGGTAAAAATGAGGGAATATGGGGGAGAAAATGGGGGGAGAGGGGATATGGGGGGGAAATGGGGGGCAAAAATGAGGGATTATGGGGGGGAGAATGGGAGGGAAAATGGGAGGGAGAGGAGGGGAATGGGGGAGTAAAAATTGGGGAATGTGGGGGGAAAATGGGGGGGAGAAAGGGGGAAATGTGGGGGTAAAAATGGTGGGAGAATTGGGGGATAATGGGGGGATTTGGGGGGGAAAGGGGAAAATAATGGGGGGGAAATAGGGGGGCCATGAAGGGGGGGCAAAGCCGGGGGGTGACAAGAAGGGGAGGAGGTGACAAATTGGGGGGGGTGACAACACTGAGGGGGGAGGGAACACAGGACTCAGGGGGTGTGACAATAATTTGGGAACGTCCCCATTTTTGTCCCCGTCCCCTCCCAGCTCCCGAATTTCTTCCTGAAGATCCCGGATTACGGGTTGTACTCCCACGATGTGGAGTTCATCAACCACCTGCTGCACCTGCACACCAGGTCTGGCCACACCTGGGCACATTTTGGGCACACCTGGGCACATTTGGGGACACCTGGGGACATTTTGGGGACACCTGGGGACATCTGGGGACGCCGGGAGGGGACCAGGGGAGGTGACATGGCCGTCCCTGTCCCCGCAGTGTCCGTGGGCAGCGACACGGGGGGGACACTCTGCCAGCCTGGGGATGTCACAGGGTGTCCCAGGGAGGTGACACTGCTGTCCCCGTGTGCCCAGGGGCCGTCCCATGTACCAGGTGGCCGTGGCTCTGTGCCGGGCGCTGGCCTGGGGTTACTTTGCCAGCCTGAGGCTGGAGGTGCTGGCGCTGACCCGGCACCCCGAGGACTGGAGCGTCCGCGCCCGCTGGAGGCTCACGGGGGTGCCCCTGCACCTGCTGCTGCTGCGCTTCTACCGCAGGGACAAGAGGCAGCTGCTCAGGTAACTCTGGGGACACCCTGGGGACACCTTGGGGACACCCCTGTCACCTCCCTGTGTCACCCTGTTACCCCCGTGTCACCCCTGTGTCACCCCCTGCACCTGCTGCTGCTGCACTTCTACCACAGGGACACCTTGGGGACAGCCCTGTCACCCCCCTGTGCCTCCCCCTGCGCTCCTTGTGTCACCCTCCCGTCACCCCATCAATCTCCTGTCACCTCTGTCACCTTTGTCACCTGCTCTGCCCCTCCTGTCACCCCCCTGTCACCCCCAGGGCGTGACCCCACCCCAATGTCCTCAATGTCCCCCGTGTCCCAACCACCTCTAATGTCCCCACAGTGTCCCCCCAATGTCCCCATC